GCTATATGGCCACGATTGCTATTTCTTCTTATGGGATGTAGGGAGGATAAGTTCCCACCTCCAGGAGGGATGTGTAGTCAACAAGAACTCTACGTGCGTTGGTGTGCTGTACAGGCTGATTTTTATTGGGATCTCACACCAGGGTGGGAAGACTTGGGGCGGGAGGAAGTTATATCACCTCTGGCCCTTCTGGGAGACGCAGCTGTCTGAGCCGGCCATCACTGGTCCCACTTTCTAAACTCTGCTGTCGCGTGAGTTACCCGCAGTCTCTGCAGGAAAGAGTCCCAAAATACTCGCTTTTCTTTATCCTTGTTAGTGCAGTTTCTCAAAAATGTGAGCCCAGGAGAGACTATGATAGTCCAAAAGCCGTGGGACTGGTATATGAACGCCCCCTTTGTGAGACCCACTGCTAGCTAGGAGTGGGGGCAGGGGCCTTATCTGCAGCAACAGATGGGGGATGATGGGTGATGTTAAGAAGCCACCGCAGCCTTTCTTACACTTTCCAGAGTTCCTCACACTCCGTGCATGGGTGAGCTGCACCTGGCCGATTTTTATTGGGGTCTCAAGCCAGGGCGGGGAGACTTGGGGTGGGAGGAAATTGTATCACCTCTGGCCCCTCTGGGAGACACCACTTTCCATACGAGCCAGCCCTGGCCCAGCCTTCTAACCTCTGCTGTCGCGGGAGTGATCTGCAGTCTCCGCAGGAAAGAGTTTCAGGTGTTTTTTGGCTAGGATCAATACTTTGGGCTTTATAATGAATTATTTGGAGCTTTGGCAGTGTAGTGGTTAAAGCACTCAGCTACTGAAAGGTCATCGGTTCAAACCCACCAGTCGCTCCATGGGAGAACGCTATGGCAGTTGGCTTTTGTAGAGTGGTCACTGTGGAAGCCCCGTGGGCAGCTCTCTTCTGTCCTACGGAGTCACTATGGATTGGAATTGACTCTATGGCAGTGGGTTGGATTTGTTGCGGTTTTGTTTTTGTAACTAATTATTTGGAGTTTTGGTATGGCGCTGTAAGTTAAGTACTGGACTGCGAGGCTGGTTTGAACCACAAGGTCGGTTGTTGCAACTCACCAGCCACTCCTCAGAAACCCTTTACAGGTCACTGTGAGTCAGAACCAACTCCATGGCACTTAGCAACAACAACAACAACTAATGATTTAGACAATTGATGTTGTTAAATGCTGTGGAGTCGGTTCAGACTCATAGCAACTGACCTGGAATAGATAAGAGAATTTGGAGCCTGGCTCTTCTAGTTGGAGCATCAGACCTCCCACAGAAACTTGATAGCAACAAAAGGAGGAGAGATCATAGAAAAGAGGTTAAAATACTGGCATCATACAACAGAATTAAAACTTCTTAGAGCTCTGAGCCCTGGTGGTGCTGTGGGTTAGGCATTGAACTGCTGACCACAAGGTTGGCAGTTCAAACCACCAGTCGCTCCATGGGAGAAAAATGAGGTTGTCTGCTTCCGTTAAGATTTCCAGTCTCAGGGATCTTATATAGGGCCACTATATAAGTTGGAATTGACTTGCTAGCAATGGTAGTGTGTTATAGGTTAGAGCTCTAAGGAGTTCAAAGCAGCAGGCCCTGCATCGGAATCACCTGGGTCCTTGTGTAAATGGTAAATGCATGGGTCCCACCTCAGGCCACTGAATCAGAATCCCTAGGGGTGGATTCCGGCATCTGTAGCCACTCCGCCACGTTACTATGATTTATACTTCAGTTGGAGAGCCTTGACGTAGTTGAATACATTTTTTAAATACTTGAAATACTCAGAAACAGGTCAAATGAACAGAGTCCAAAATTATGGCAAAAATTCCAGAAGAAAAACAGGAATTTTAGATGCTTTATTCACTGGATAGCATTCTGGTGTAGCATTGTAGGCTAAGCACTGAACTGCAATGTCAGTATGAACCTCAAGGTTGGTGGTTCAAATCCAACAGCTGCTTCTTGGAAATCCTATACAGGGTTGCTATGATTCAGAACCGACTTGACGGCACTTCACAACAATTCACTGGATGAGTGAGCTTTGAGGTGAAGCTGTTTGAGTCAAATTGAGTAGCCTGCTATGTCCCACTCACCCCTAAGTGGAAAACCTCCCTAGCCTTGAGGTGGGCTGTCTTGAACCACACTTCAGGCCTTGGGAAACCCACAGTTATGGTAAAGCAAATTAAAAAAAAAAAAAGGAAAAACAAAAATCCATCCCATTGCTGTTGAATCAATTCTGACTCACGACGACCCCATGTGTTACATAGTAGAACCTAGTGGCTCCTTGGCTATAATTTTTATAGAAGTAGAGCACCAGGTCTTTCTTACGCAGCATAGATGAGGAGGTCAAATGGTTAAGCTTTAGGTTAGTAGTAGAGCACCAATGTTTGTGCCACCAGAGGTGAGGATAAACAAGGGTTAGTGGGTAAGCAGTCTGGAGCCACAGTTAAGGCTTGATCTGGGACCAGAGCCCTCAGAACTCAGTGTGGAACTGAGATAAGGACTCAACTGTGGCCAGGACCAGGGTCATTTTAGGGCCAGGGCCAGAGCTCAATCTGGGATATGGAACCCTAGCTCCTGGGTTATGGGCATAAGGGATATGGTCCTTCCCAATGCCTTGGGAAGCTTTCCAGTGCTGGTGACAGGTTCCACAGGCATCCCTTAGGATCAGTCAGGAACTCACACCTATTTGCCTAGGCTTGAGACCCAAGGGAATGGGGCTTGAGGACAGCACAGACTGGGCCCACCTTACCTTGTCCAGCGAGGTCCCCCATGGCATTCAGCACAGGGCCTTTCTGCTCCTTGGGGATCATCCTATGGAGAAGAGACTCCGGTATAAGAGCCAGGTCATGTCCAAGCCCCCTCTCCTTTCCCAGACCTCCTCCATGGCCCTGCTTTAGCCAGCTCCAGCACCACACCAGCCTTGGTCCCCTCCAGAGAGCAGGTCTCTTCGTACAGAGGAGGAGACTGAGAGCTAGGTAGCTGTTCCAGGCCACACCGGTCTGCTGCCATGTTGTTAAGGAAGCACTTCCTCTTCAGGGAGCCTTTTCCCAGGCCTAGACTCCTGATCAGGTGAGCTGGTAGTGCCTGGGACCTGGAAGAGGTATGCTAGAGGTGGGGAGGGGTGAGGGTTATCCTCAGCAGCTGACCTCGGAAAGTTCTAACTAGACAATGAAAAAAAGTAGGAGGTTGTTGGCAGAGGCAGAGGTTGTGTGGGTTACTGGGAGTGAGGAAACTGGACTGCTATACACCAGGGTTTGGTCCTCCCTCCCATCCCTAGTAAGGAGCTCTGGTAGCGTAGTGGTTATGAGTTGGGCTGCTAACCTCAAGGGGAGCAGTTCAAAACTACCAGCCATTCCTCAAGAGACAGATGAGGCTTTCTGCTCCCATAAAGATTTACAGCCTAAGGAAACCCTATACAGAGTTACTATGAGTTAGAAACGACTCCGTGGCATACCACTACCACCACCACCCATCCCTACTACTTGGCCCCAAGAAGACTGCTGGGCCCTCTGTACCCCTGGCCCAACCTCCTTGTTACCTTCCTCTCCCTCACTCCTACTTCCTCTCTTCTTCCCTTTTCCTCCTCTATTCTTCCATTTGCATCTCTCTTTCCAGGGATCTGGGAGAGATTTACTACAGGTGCAGAGCCCTGGAAAACTTTTGCAGGTCCAAATCCAGATTCCCTAACTTACCCCAGGAGACAAGGCAGAGCGACATTGAGCTTCTCAAATGGCTGCCCACCCCACTTCCAGATAGTTTAAAGGTCCTTCATTTAGAAAAACAACCTGTCTCCATCTTGCCTCGGGCCAGGGGGCTGTGGACCCTGACTGCCTCTGTGACTTAGCAAATTGCTGTCCTGTGGTGTGCCTCAGTTCCTGTCTGTAATAGAAGGTTGGGCTAGATCATAAGGATCCACAGGTACATTTCAGTAAATCTATGGACCCTAAACTGTATGCAAGCATGAGTGTGTCTGCGTACATTTGGAGTGAGGGTCATGAAGTGATCGAGAATGCCCCGACTGTGACCATTTCGGATCCCACAGACACCGGGAAGGGCCCTTATTGTTCAGACCAGGGAAACTACCTTCCTCCATTGTCTACAGATACTGAGCCATTACTTAGCCCTGCCTCGAATCCGAGCCACCCACTTTCCATTTAACTGAGACTAACCTAGAGCCTGCTGTGGCACTGTAGGATAAGCACTGGACTGCTAACCCCAAGTTGGAGGTTCAAACCCACCAGCTGCTCCTCAGAAACTTTCATAGACTCACAACTGACTCAATGGCACTTAACAACCACAACTAGAGTTGAAGTCCTGGTGTGGCCCTGGAGGATAAACACTGGACTGCTAGCCACAAGGTCAGCAGTACAACTCACCAGCCACTCCTTGGAAACCCTATACAAGATTGCTATGAGTTGGAACCAACTCAACAGCACTTAAGAACAATAATAACAACAAACTAGAGCTTAGAGTCCCTCCCCTCCAAACCCAGGGTCTAGGCTTCTGTGAAGCCCACACTGTCTCCACCCTCTGCAGGCCCTTTTTCTGTCTGAGAGGAAGGGGCTCTGGGAATTGGCTTGGTTCCATTCTCCACAGCTCCCCAGCCCCCCTGGGATCCTTGTACCTGAGCGGATGGGGTCACAGTGGGCAGGCAGGAGTATCAGACCCTCAAGGTCAACCTCTTTGTGGAGCTGAGAGTGAGTGGTCAGGGTCTGTGTCAGCAATGGGTGGTCAGTGAGCAGTGTGTGCCCTGCAAGTGGCTCTGGCCTCAGCTGACAAGACTGGTCCCTGCCCTGTCATGGGTCACAGCCTTATTTCAGGCTGCAACAGGAGCTGGGACCAGATGCTAAAAACACTAGGCCCTGGGGAAGACAGGTGCCCCGGCAGCAGGCCCTTGCAGATGGAAGGGCTTTCGGACATATGTTCTCACACACACGCACATGCGTGCAGACACACACACATGCACATTTGCATGCACACACCAAAGTCACCTGGAAATGCCAAGAGTCGATTGCCGGTCACTTCAGCTTGTTACTTTGTATCCTTAGATATTTGTTGAATGAATGAATGGTTTCCCCAATATCTTTGCCTGACCTAGTCTTTCCTTTCTTTCTGCTGACACACCAAAGTTACCTGGAAATGAGTCAGCTGCTGGTCGCGTCAGTTTGTTACTGTTGTATCCTTAGATATCTGTTGAATGAATCAATGTTCTCCCCAATATCTTTGCCTGTCCTAGTCTCTTCTTCTTCCTTTCTCTTTTCCTCCTTCCCCCCACCTTCTCACATTCTCTGAGTCTTTCTCTATGGGCCAAAAATAAATAAGGCAGAGTTTTGTCCTCAAGGATCTCAACCAGGTCAGACAGGCCTGTAAACAAGCCTTCCCCAAGCATGATGGGAAGTGCTCTGGTTGAGCCCAGGGGAGAGTGATACCAGCTCAGTTCAGCCTGGGGGTAGAAGGAGTGGGGAAGGCTTCCCAGAGGAGAACACATTTGAGTTGGACCTTGGAGGGTGAGTGGGAGCTCACTGTGCATAGCAGGGGCCAAGGCGTTGCAGAAGAGGGCATGTCAAGTCAAAAGAGGTTAGGGGATCAGCAAGTAGGTCCATGGAGTTGGAGCTAGAATGTGGGAGACAGTGGTTAGAACTGAGGTCCAACAAGTGAGCAGGAACCAGAGAGCAGCTGGACTTTCAGTGAGGAGCTAGTGGGGAATTGAAAGCAATGGAGTAACGTGGTCAGATCCTTGTTCAAAGATATCACTGTGCACAAGTGACAAATGCCTGTGGGGTGACACTGGAGGCAGGGAAACTGTCAGGAACATTTCCTGGTAGCCAGATAAGAGATAGGATCCCTGGTGGTGCAAAAGTTGGCTGCAAACCAAAAGGTTGTCAGTTCAAACCTACCCTGTGGCGTTGTAAAAGGAAGATGTGGTGATTTGATCCTAAAGTTTGTTGTTGTCAGGTGCCATTGAGTCGGAACCGACTCATAGTGACCCCATGCACAGCAGAACGAAATAATGTCGGATCCTGGGCCAACC